CAGATAGATAGGCAGATAGATAGGCAGATAGATAGGCAGATAGATAGGCAGATAGATAGGCAGATAGATAGGCAGATAGATAGGCACAGTGGCACAATACTAGAAAAATCTGTTCTCTGGATTGTTCAGATTTGTTGTACTGGTTAACACAAACTGCTTTTTTTTTCCATTGGCCTGACATCATAGTTTGTCAGAACAAATGTAACCCCTTTAAAAAGTATGGGACATCTGCTACGGCATGGTGAAAAAAATAAAATAGAAAAGCACAAATTAAATCACATAAAAAGCCCCTTGAGATCAAAGGAAGGAGGCAATATTAATTACCATTATATTCTAAGTGATTTGTTCACTGAAAAACAGCATGGATAGATCACATCTTAATTGTTAACGTAGATCACATTTTAATCACTAGCACCTTTCCTGTCTGAAGTTACATAGCATATTTGATCTAGATTCATTCATGATACTAAGCCATAAAATTAATCCCAACCATGGTACACGAAGCGAGACAATTATGGTTTATTCAATAATAGTGGTTAATAAAATTGTGGTTTAATATATTATGTGATTCAAGCTTTTGCTTGAATGACACCTACTTACCTGTATCGGAGGAAGTAAAGTAGCCAGGGAACGCCTTTGGAGCTGGGGGCTAAATCTTCCTGAGCTTTCTTCAGTCTTCATGGCACTATCCTAGTTTCAGTTGCATGGCTATTATAGAATATAATCTAATTTTGGAATGATTTAAAACTAGATTATAAGCATGGCTTGTGAATTTAGGCTTCCTTTGTGTCTGTCAGCTGCTCTTCCTCTTTATCATTTTTCGGCAAGCTTCCTCATCCGTATTTCCCCCTCAGTTTTCATTTTTCGCCAATCTGCTAAGAGGAACAGCCACCCAGCAGAAGCAAAATTTGCACCAGCTCTCCTCCCTTCCTTTCCTTCCTGTTTCCTGCATGCAGAAAAGGGGGAGCCCACCTATTCACCTGCATACTCAGGTACCCTGTCAGCCTTTGAATGAGGACTAGGGAGCCACTGTGCGGGTCTTGGTGCTTTCATTGTCACAGTAGGTTATTGATTTGGCTCATCCCTGCCTGGAAACTAAAAGCAGGAAGTCCTTTAAACAGATAACTATTCTTATCCATCTAATATTTGGTCAGCAGCCTCATAAGTAATTTAAATGAAGTGCACAGGATTTCTCATTCTTCTCCATGAAAAAAATTATGCTGTTTCTCAGTATACTAATAGAGGCGAGTATGTGTAGCTTGAAATGTGGAGTCCTTGGGGTTCTCTGAGCTTGGTTCTTTTCTTGCAAATGTTTCATTA